CTCTCCACCGGGATAAGGCGGAGGGAAGGTTGCCGAGACCGTCATTAATAACTTTTAATATCGTTCGCTGCCCAGGAAAGTCATTTCCGGATATTTGTTCCACCACAATATCGCCGGGTTAGCCAAGACCGCTATTTATTGTGATTACTGCCGCCACATCGCTTAATAGTCTTCTAATCTCAGGATTGACGAGACAATTGTTTACTTTAAGTTTATTTTACGGAACAATAATATTTTTCCGCGTTTAGCCGCAACCTCGCATAATTTTCAGGAACTTTGAGCGTGATAAACGAACGAACGAAAATAATTATGTTAAAATGATAGAGATCTAATTAAAGTCTGTTGATACTTTGTTAAGATAAAAATGAGATGGAATACTTTTTTTTTCGAACAGTTATGTAGAAGGAAAATTGGAAATTTTATAATTCTATTTTATTCATTTGTTAATCTTATTTCTATAAATGCATTTTTGAATTGGAGAGCATGTATATTGATGCATTTTGTTGTTGCTTTATTCCTTATCTCTCTCTCTACTTATTTATACATACGGCTACTGTTTTATACATGCCACCAGCCACTAAGATCGCGATAGCGTTAGCAAAGTTAGCGAAAGTCGCTACCAAACTTCCCAAGATTCGCGTCTTCATTACGACATTGATGTAGGGGAATAATTTCTCAAGCTGCTCTATATGCATAATTTAGTATGAAATGTCTCCTAATGACTTTACACATATAAAATTTATAAAATTGATATTACTAGAATATTACAAAATTAAAATTGATATTTTTATCGTCATTATAAACATTTAGATAAGTTAACAAGTTATTGAAATTTACTTTTTATAAATATTCTTTTTATAGCATTTTACAAATACATTTTTTTTACAAATACATTGCTTTTCCATAATTTGCATTTCAATATTATCATATATTTGTTAATAGAAGATGGTTGAATTTAGATATTATATTATAGTCATTCTTGATTTATTTCAAGAAAGCTTTTTTAACATCTGCATATATTATCCGTGCCGAATAGAGATCTAATTTAATCTCTAGAGAGATACTTAGTGAAAGGAAGTTTGTTCGATCGGGAAGCTTTCTTGTGGAAAAGCACTGGTTGGCCTACCATAGTGACGAAGAGTCCTAATTATCACTCGGTCGGATATGGTAGAATTGTTCGCGGAAATTCGTCTCATAAATCTTTCTACTTTCATCGACTCTCTTCTTAGCTCTTCATTCTTCTTTCTTCTGTTTTTTTTACTTTTATCCAACATTTTCGCGCTTTTATTATGCTTAACTTTTTATTTTCTTTCTCTCTAAGAGAGAACATTCGTTACTTGCTATTAAATTTAGTAAATAATTTTATTTAGCACATACTGAAAAGATTAAAATTATATTTCATGTTAGTTTACTTTTAATCATGATATACAAATACATTTTTTATATAAATGTAAATTAAGTATTAGTCTGCGAAAAAATATTATTTAATTGCTTGTAATAAATTATTACTATCTAATATTTCCTTTTTTAAAGATTTTGTTTCATTAATTTCTTATAACATTTTTCACTGGTTTGATTGAATATATAGAGTAATTTTTTGTGTTTCTATTATTGATAATCCAACCTGTCAAAATTCCATTGTTTTCAAACCTTACAAAAGATAAACAAAATGTAAAAGCGAACTATCACAATTAATATTAAATATAAAAATGTGCCTCCAAACAATTAAAGTATCATCATTCCATCTTTCCAAAGCCGCCTAAATTGATTTGCACGTATATTGTAGTTTATTGAAGGACGGGAAAAGGAGTAATCCCGGGATCAACGAATCCAGGGATTCACGAACTCGAGGATTCGACGACCCGAATACGTTTTATTTACCTCCGAAGAGTGGGTTCTAAATTTCGCGTCTCGACGACCGCACTAAAGTCGCCCTTTTCCTCCATGATGAAAAGGGATAGGGAATATTTTCGAGCCGGCTAACCATGAAATGAGATACGCGGGAAAGTTGACCCCGGCAGGTACATATATAGTGATCGATGAAGGTTCGAGGGATCTTCCACCCCTGTAGTTGGGTCTCGCCACTTCGCGTGCGAGCATCATTTCGTCGTCGGGCACCTGTGTACGTGTGCATGACAGGGGTCGCATGTGTTCGTATCCTACTCTTGCTGTTGGAGATGATCCTGAGGTCGAGAGAAGGACCTGCACTCCGAGTACTAGACGATGTTTTCCTTTCGAAAGAGAATAGGAACTTTTACACCGCTCGTCTAGGGATTTCCTCCGGAACCTGGGGCACCTCCCTCGATAGATAAGCCTTTAGGAAGGATATGTATCCGCCATCTCGGGAAAAGAGACGTCTATTCTTCGGACACTCCAGATCGCTTGTTCACCAAATGTATGTGAGTGGATGAAATGCGAGAATGTCCGAGCGGTTACTAAAATGTCAATAACAATAACGTCTCTTTAATCTTCTTATCTTTTTGGCGGAAACGCAAATTTAAATGTTATCTCGTAGTAAGTCAAGGCTCTTATTAAATTCTAATAAATTTGATAAAAGGCTGTTAAGAGCAGTGAATATAAAAATTCAAATTATTTTAGAAAGTAAGTCATATATAAAAATAATATTCTTTAATATAATGTCTACTAATAAATTACAATAAAAGGTGACAAAAAAGAATTAAAACATAAGCTTGACTATGCTTGATTACATATATAACCGAACGACACCGGTTATATTTTTAAATTATCAATCTAATCAGCGTTGAATTTGTCAAAATATTAACCGAAACGTTCGTTAATATTTGTATTTAAAGAGTACTTATGTTTTAATTATTTTTTGTCACCTTTTATTGTAATTTATTAGTAGACATTATATTAAAGAATATTATTTTTATATATGACTTACTTTCTAAAATAATTTGAATTTTTATATTTACTGCTCTTAACAGCCTTTTATCAAATTTATTAAATGTTATCGTTGAATGGAAAAATTAGTATTATTATGTTTAATCATGGATAATTGAATACAACACGACATATGTACCTGTAAAATATTCTATTATCAATTATGCATTGTCGTAATATTGATCTTTTTAAGCATCTATTATCAGTAACTACAAGCACAATATGCCTAACGATTGTTAACATAACTTTAATACATTCTGAAAGTACTTTAGTATGTATATAGTTTACCAATTTGTAATATTTGATATGTTGAATTACGTCGAATAATGTTAAAGTTGTTTAGTGTTAACTTTAGTTATGTAAATTTCTCATTCCGTTTACATATGGATAGAATTTTAATCCAAGGAAAATTGTTTATTGATTATTGATATAGCCAAGTTTATTTTACAACAGAGTAAGTTATTTAAGTTAAAATTGATTTAAATAAAAATTAATGCAGTATTTTCTCAATTAGATCAATTTTACTATCAAATTTAATTTACGGACATGCAAAGTTAATTAAATTTTTTATCCATGAATATATAATATAGAAATATATTTTTTAGGTAAAAATATGTTTTGATTTTTAGAAAAAAATATGACATTAATCATCTCAATTTTTTGGAAAAAAATTGATAAAATTTAGTTTTACTAATATTCGTTTATTCTAGTAAAAACTAAAATACATAAACAAATTTGCAATAAATCCAAATACGATTCTTAACGCCTGTCCATATTTTTTATGATTTTTATTCCGACAATTTGCGATTTCAATCGCCTGGAAAACGACCGACGTTTTCGGGTTGACGTACCTATATTACACCGCAAAACTTTTATCGCGCGTATTCTTTCAAAAATAAAATCGACGATAAAATATACACGTAGAATAAGCGTGGTGGTACAGCATTTCGTGACAATGAAATCGCGTTAATTTTGCGGATACGTCCTGTACGAAGAATTCGTGTCTCGTCTTTCTTCACCTGCGAATAATATCCGCGAAAACTGACGTAAGGATCCAGATGTGTGCCGCACGGAAACGCTTGTCGAACGAAATATCTCTCTCGCCGCAGTTGAAATCCTCAAAGAAATATTTTATAACATCTCTCCGCTGTGCTCGTGCCGGAAATCCGGATATATTCAGCCGTGTTCCATCGTTGCGAATCCTGTTCCTACCTATATCCCCGTGTCTTTCTCTCGTTTTTCGATTATCCACGCGATTGCCACAAAAGGATCGTCCCGACGGTCGAGGAGCATTATTCCTTCGGCGATTACAAGACGGGTCGATGATCGGACATTGTTATAGAAATGTGCGAAAGCAGTTATCGATCGTTTTTCCTGAGCGAACATGGCGAGCAAACATATAATATTTGCTTCAATGGATAAATTTAATTTTTGTGTGTGTAGGAAGAGCTGAAAAAGTTGTGAGAAATGTACGATAACATTTAAAAAATTATTAAAAATTACGGAACATGATACTGTAATGTCGAAGACGTTTTATGTCTTTTAAAGCGAGTTTAAATTTTGCAAAATACTTGAACATAAATTTACAACTTTTATAAATTAATGTGCTTATTTTCCTTTGGCCGACATCTTCTGTGCCAACAAGCACAATAATGGATCGGAAGAGATGCAAACGGGAAAACAATAAGTTTTCGTAAGAAAGCAACGGCGTTCCTTTCAAGCGAGTAAAAGCGACCAGAATTTATTGTGAATAAATCTGCGTTACATGTATTCCGATCTTGTTTAAAATATTTCATCCTACTTTAAATGAAATTTAAAGTAGATATCTCTCAAGGTCCTGACAGAATTGGTTTTTTTTTAAGATTTTGTAACAATTTAATTTTATGTATGTCATTAAATTGAAATTGATCAGATATTGAGGTTCCGTGCATATTTCAATTGGTTTTTCATTAAATTATGTAATTTGTTAAGCATTGCTGCGTATGGTGTCATAATAATCTTGCTTAAGAGTAAAACATGCAAAGCTGTAGTGACATCGCAAGTGTTAAGAAAAATGCAGCACGCTATGATATTTAAAATGTTGCATCTTATTTCAGATCAAAATGGGAACGTGTTGGTTCGCAATATGGCTGCTCCTCGTCTGTTTTATCGGTGATGCGCGACCGCAATACAGAGATAAGAACATAAGTGAGTATTTATATCAAAATTTCTGCTATTTAATCACCTCGGTGTGTTAGAAATATAGTAGTAAAAAATAGCACAATAATTGAGATTTTAAAAATTTAATATGAAAATCGTACTTGATATTGGTATACATATGTTTGATATCTAATCGTACAAGGAGTCTTAGCTGATAATTTATATGTATATAAATATCAATGCACGGATATACGTTGATAAAAAATTAGTATACTTATGCAAAATGATAGTTAAACAATGTTCTGATTCAGTTATTTACTGTTTCACTTAATAAATGAGTTGTAACATGTTAAATGAATATATTGATCACACGCGCTATAGAGAGACTGGTAATTCGTCTTACTTCAACTTTAACGAACCATTTTAATCGTGAAAGCAAATCCAGATCTACGATTGCCCGGCTGCACAATGACAGATGATCTTTTGCGCTCCGAGAAATGACATTACTGTAAGAGACTAAGTGCTCGATAAATTACCTTTGCCCAGGCTCTAACTGTCCATCCGTTTTACGTAACTATCATCGAGACAGTCATGCTCAAACGTTTCACTCGTCGTCGCGATAAATTAAGCGGTTAATCGCAGAGAAGAGATGAGCGCGCACAAGCAATTATGCGGCTTGGTGAATGCACATCGCTCGAAAATAACACACCGCGTTTAAACCGGTGTGTTGCGCAAATCGTTGGACATTAAATTCGCGAAATTTGCGCACGCATTGTAATTACTTTTAACTTCCATTCGGCGACTCGTCAAACAAGCGAGCAGTAAGTGTCGTTTCATGATTTAGTCGCGATTCGCAATCGTTGACGCAAAAGTTTAAATGTACTCGTTGGAAGGCTAATTACTCGCGAAATAATTTCGCTTTCGTAAATTTAAATTAATTTACTGTGACAGAACTGCATTTTAGTTTTACAAAAATAATTTACTTTTATAAAATGTGTAATATGTATCTTTTTATATTATACATATAGTTCATTACAGTGTAGTAGAAGAAAGACAATTAAAAATAGAATATTATTCAATAATAATAATTTAACATTGATTGATAATTTTATATGCCATACATATTATTTTAAGTAAATATAAAATTATTAAATTTCAATGATGTGAATAATGAAATAGATCTCGCTGTAACGAGAATTGAAGAATTCGTTAAAATTATTATGATTTTCTTTTATTGTTGTGAAGCTTTCGAGCTGAATTTTGATCGGAAACATACATAAAAAGTCTGTAGTACAGAAGGCCTCATTATACTGATACAAATTTTTACAATATTGATTATTTTCTGTCCTTCTTTTTATGAAACATTGCAAGTTTATAAAATACGTTGTACGACATGATTACGTTAGCTGAATAAAAAAATAATATTTTCCACTTCTGCCTTAATTATGTGTAAAAGTTGCGCGTAATTAATGATCGTCTATCCCCGAGAAAGATTTTCTTTTTATAATTAATTACGTGCTTTTATTCTTCATTTTTTTAAAAACTTTATGGGATAAAGGATTATTGGTTTCAGTCGATTTTGTGGTCATCTTTATTCTTATCATTAATCCTGCCATAACCTTGTTTTTTTTTTGCGTCTTATACAAGATAATTTGAAATCAATACGAGTGTTCCTTCGTTGAAATTCTCAACCATGTTTTATGATATCTAATTGCATTTCCGTGTATTTTCCGACAAGAAAAATTTATCGTTCATTGCGACAGTGACTGTAAATAATTAAATCTACATCCTTACTTCGTTCGAAGATCTTTAATTTGTCCGGGAACGATTACTCGGAATTGCGAAGGATGCAGAGTCTTAATGTTTCCTTTTCCCCGGTGCACACAAGAACGCAGGTTCCGCAGGATTAAATCCTTTAGAACCGACACAAAGTTAATTAGAACTACGTGTCGCCATTTACCGATAAGGATTACAACATTCTCCTATATCCTGTGTTCTCTTTGCGGTTTATATCTACGAACGAGACCTAGAAAAATAAATTTAAATTGCACTGTAATTTTAATACACATTCACGCTATCATTAATAATTCATCAAACATTTATTTATGAGAAAAAGTACAAACTATTTTAAATTTACGTGTAATATTCTACATATGCTTAGAAAAATATAGAAAGAGATACGTAAAAAAAAAAATATAATTGAATAAATTGAATAATTGAGATAAAAATAAATATTTATATTCTGAGCATACTGGACGAGAAAATCGTTTGCGTTTGAAATGAAGCGCGGTCGATTCTCATATATGTCGTCTTCCAGATCACGGAGCTGCAAAGTTCACCTCCGAGACAGACTATAATGGAGACTAGAATACCATGTCTCGCAGGTAGTTCCTGTAGTTTCCATAAAATTTTTGCAGCTCGAGCGACCGCGAAATGAATACGGCGCGTACAGACATTTTATCCGCTCAATAAACTCGAACCCAATGAAATCGAGAGGCTTTTGAATTCGAGCGAGAGTCCCGACGAATGATACTACGCGAGATTGGAAGCAGATTGGGAGGATACATCAGCGATATACATATATCATATTTATATATATAAGGAAATTTGAAGTCGCTGATCCCGATCGAATAAGATGAGAAGGATGGTTAAAAGATCGAATTAAGTGAGAATATTGCGCAAAAAAGTTTGAAATGAATATCTCCACCGTGAAAAATCCTGGAGAAATTCTTAGTCGTTCTCTCCTGTATCTGTTACGTTCGAGAAATTCGCTCGCGGACATTATTCATTTTTCGAATTATGGAAATCTCTTATAAGGTATTCAATTCCGCTTATTCTATTAACGATTAAAAATGAAACGTATCTTTATTGAGTTTAAAATGCGTATGATTTGTTTCATTTTTCTAGATTTTTTTCTTGGCATTTAAAAGTAAGAAGAAGTAATTTACTTTTAATATATAACACGAAAATCGATTATTGAGCTCTTATTATATCGAATCTTGATAAATTGTGGTAATATTATTTCAATACAAATTGCACAGAATATTTTTATAATTTTAATGTGATTTGCATTGAAGAAGTGGCATCAAAGTGAGTTGTAACCAAATTAATTAAATTTGTGCACTGTGTGAGTTATTAAATTGTGCAAAATGTCATCGAAAACAAAATAAGCAAGATTTTTTGAAAATACACAGTGATTGCAGAAATCGAGGATGTTGTAGCTAAAATGCTTTCTTCGCGATGGGAGCTTCGGAGTTTGTTAGACTCGTCTAGAAGCATATAATAGGCAATCAGTGTTGGACAGATGTAATTAAAGCGGAATTGAAATCAGGATTTTCCCCTGAGCGAGGCGAGTAAGTTCCCGTCGTTGGAAAATTGGTACCTAATTGATATTCCGATGAAAATTGAAAATCCTATTTTAATGGAAACCGGTGACACTTAATGAGAATCGGAATTTTCATTCTGGCGACGCCCGACACTATGATATCGTCGGATTATAGACTCCCTGTTAATAGACTCCGTAATAATGTAAAAAAGCAATAAAATGTTACAGTCGTAACGATAATCTGCCATCGGCGATCTATGATTTATGCGCACGCTCGAGTAAACGAATCGACATTCAATATGACAAAACCTTGTTTGCAACGTTTGATTAAACTGGCGTATTTAACGTTAACAACATCGACAGCAATACTCTCCTCTCTCTCTCTTTCAAAATTCGTTTCGCAAATAAATCGCGAGGGCAATGATCGTTGACGCATTGCTCATACTGATCACGATTTCATCGGATCATTCCGCTCATTGATTAAGCTTTTGTTTAAACATAGATCGGATTATCCATGAAAATTGCTACCGTTGTTGATCATCTTATACGTGCGACAATAATAAAATAAAATTACCGCGTTTGATTTTATCTTCATTTATGTATATATGCATAGTGAAACATTTTGTGAAACGAAATGTTTATCAGAAATAATTAAATTTTTTATTATTATTTAGATATTATTTACTATTATTATATATATAATATATATTTCATATATAAATTTATTTATGTATATATAATTATATATATAATATATATTATATATATTATATATATAATATATTATAATATATATTATATATATATTATATTATATATATATATATATATATATATTATATATATTATATATTATATATTATATTTAAAATTTTGTTACAATTGTGTAAAGATTTGATATAAAAATGATTATTGCTATTGGCCTTTGGGGAAGCGACTCGCGCAGTACTAAATGAGCCGACATGGGCTTAGCGCTGCGCGTTTAGATAAGATTTTAGTGCGAATCGGATTTGCATCCGGGCGTTTATGGCGCGCCGACATCGCAATCCACGGGGAACGACCGTTCGAATCTATTGCGAGGTATGATTTACGTTACCGCGTACACGCGCGTCTCCCTTTAACGTCAGCGCTGCTCTCTCTCTCTCTCTTCATCCTTGTTCCCTATTCGAACGAAAAAAGGACTATTGTCCACCCCGATGCAATGCCTGGGGGCTGCATTGTACGCGTATAGCTGCGATACCACGATGATTTTGCACTCCACGGTTTCGTCGGCTGAAGCCCGATGTATTTGTTTCGCCTGGTCTGCCAACCGGTTGGACTGTCATTTCAAGGCTTCGCATTCTAATGAGAAAAAAGTAACGACTGCCTAGAAAATGCTACTCGGAAAAATCATAATTAAGATAAAAGAGAGAAAGCTGTTTTAGAGAATGCAAATAGCTTCATAAAGCAATACTTTAATCGATATTTAATCGCGATGTTGCAACTGTCATTTTTTAGCAATCGAAATGAAAACGTAAAAGGCATCTAACATAGAGAAATAGTCATAATCAACGATAACTATGCTTAAACAAGTAATTCTTTTTGCGAAAAAGAATTAAAAAATGAAATTATTAACAAGATATTTCATACTTCTCTTGTAAAATGAATAATATAATATAATAATATAACTTACGGACGAGTGAAAAGCAAATGGAAGCAAAGGGCTTATTATTTGTAATTTAAT